GGGGGGGGGGGGGGGGGGGGGAGCTGTGAGGAGAGAGAGAGCCGCTGGCTGTCAGATCCTGGCCAAGCAGCTCTCTCTCATCACAGCTTGGCCATGCTGCTGTGACAATGGTTCCCCCCCCCGCCAGCTGCAGCGCTTCACTTCTCCTCAGATCCCTGCTGCCTCCGCCCATACAGGTGGGGGAGAGCAGCGGGAATCCAGTTGGAGGCTGTGCCGCCCCACTTCTTCCTGCAGTGCCGAGTCCTGGCTGCGCTCCTCCCTTCCACCTGCAACCGAGGCGAGAGCCTCCGTTGCCTTACCCTCGCTACGGCCCTGGAGCTTGGAGCGATGGCTATTTTACAATACACAGGCACCATGGACAACAAAAATAGCCACCCTCCAGATGGAAGGACAGTGTCAGCACCAATTCAGAGATGATTCAAGGATCTACAGCTGAGTGATATATAAATAAGCTACATTTTTGTTGATAGGTAATGTACTTAATGCATCTTTAAGATTTGGAAAATGGAAGGGTTGGTGCGTTCTTTAGAAGCTGGTCATCAGTCTGGAAGTTGACAGGACAGCAACATACAGACTTCAGGTAACCTCTGATCATCATTTTTTCAAACTGAAGTGTCAGAATAAGCGATGATAATTAACCACTTGAAGACCAGGTGTTTAGACCCCCTTCCTGGCCAGGCCATTTTTCAGTATTCAGCGCTGCAGTACTTTGACTAAGTTGTAATTGGTGAGGGTGCTCTCCGCACACCTTTCAGCAATCCCGGCCAATAGAGATGAGGTGCTTGCAGTAACTCCCACGGATGGCACCGTGTAATGCACAAAGTAGAAAGAATAGGTTACCAGCACTCAAAATGATTTCAAATAGATAAGTTCTTTTTATTGGACATACGTGTCACAATAGTCAAATAGCCAACGTTTCGGGGCCACGCAGGGTCCCTTCCTCAGGGCAAAAGATGTGGGTCACATCTTTTGTGCAGTACTTTGACTGACATTTGTTCTGTCATGCAACACTGTACTGAAATGAATTTTATACCATTTTTTTTTTACAGCCTAGCCGCATAGAGGGGCCAAACATCCAAGTAGCACCATGAGGCTTTCATGGGGCATAAATTAATCATCTGATTCCATGGCTACATGTTACATTTTTGGAGACCCTATAGTGCCATGGCAATAGAAACACCCACAAAATGACCCAATTTTGGAAAGTAGACACCCCAAGGTATTTAATAAGTGGCATGGTGAGCGCTATGAAGATTTCATTTTTTTTTGCCACATGTTTTTGGAAAATGAAGAAAAAAATGATTTTTTTTTTAACACAAATTTGCAAATGAATAAGCTATTACTAACACACAGCATATGCACACTCAGAATTACACCCCAAAACACATTCTGCTACTCCTCCCGAGTATGGGATACCACACCTGTGAGACTTTTTCACAGCCTGGGAGTGTATATACAATGGAGCACCATGAGGCTTTCAAAGTGCCCCATGGTATTTGGTATGGAGTACTTTGGGGGAATGTCCAACTGCTGACACTTTGAATCCAACTGCTGACACTTTGAATGACAATGACAGTTTGAATCGCACTGATGATTCTGATCTGCACTGATGAAACTGCGATATCCACTGAGACACTGTAAATCGCACTGACAATTTAAATCACTGAAGATATTGTGACGCACACTGTGAATCACACTGCTGTCACTTTAAATCCAACTGATGACACTTTGAATCACAATGACAGTTTGAATCACACTGATGACACTGATCTGCACTGATCTGCACTGACAGTGTACTAATTTGTGTGTGTATGTCACTTTAATTGCTTACTGTGGACGATCCCTGAAGCTCTCAATCCTCTCTCTCCCACAACCGAACGGTGTGTGAGAGAGGAGATGGAGACAAGGCTGCAAACCGCAGCCATTGTTTAAATTTTTGACAGCTGTGATTTGGCACAGCCAGATTGCAAGGTATAGAGCAGATTTCACTGACTCTATACCTTGTTATGGAAACAGCACTGTCCAATGGACAGTGCGGGCACAGTAAGCGGCTCGTGCGCGCGCGGGGGGCATGCCTGAGCGGGGGGCGGGGCAGGACGTACTAGCACGCCCGCTTACATCCAAGAAGGTCCCGGCAGGCCGTGTAAGTACAACGGCTGGGCGGGAGGCAGTTAAAGAGGCAAATAAGACAGTAGGAGCGTAGGAGCCTAAGGGGGTTATTCACGTAGGAGCCGAGGGATCCAGCCGTAGCTTCGACTGAGCATTCGGCTCTCTTCGGCCGCCGTACTGAGCCATAGTGAATACCCGAACATTGTTCGGCGCACTTAACTTCGGCTGGGTTATTCACTCGGCTGCCTTTGGCAGCTTTGTGAATAACCCCCTCAGATTTTATTAGATGGAATATTCAGAATCTTTATGAAGCTCAGTTGTGACTGGTTCTCTTGAGAATAATCTCACTTTTCAAGCTTTGCTTCATAGCATTTTGAATGACTTGGCATTACTACCTATGTCAAACAAACTCGTAACAGGATCAATAAAAGTGAGAAAGGTAGTAGCTTTTACATTTTTCTGCCAAGTGATGCAAGTTCAGTAAACTGGAGGCTATTTGCTAATGCTGTGTTGTGATTGAGGTCACTGTCCTCCTTTCACTTTCAATAAAGAATGCCCTGGCATAACACTAACCCAAATTACGAAACCAGCTTCTCCCCATGTCATTTGTGCTCATCAGTTCATGTAGTTTGTGACCTGTTCGAAATATCTGCATGCACTGGAAATGCTGTGAGAGGTGGTCACAATTTAAAAGGGTTTTGTTCAGAGAAACACAATATTAAAGCTTGATCCATCACCTCTGTGTAGTAAAAAAAAAAAAAGGGGCACCCTCACCAATAGATGGCACCTTTTTAT